CTGGACTGTGCTGATAGTTTTGCTGGAAACTAAAGATTCAAAAAGGTATTATTAACTGGTTAATAGGTAGGTAAAACAAGAACTCACCCTTGATTCTGGTAGGGATTGCCGGTGGTGGCCACGCCTCCCGGACCCGCCGGGCACATGCCACCTGCCTGCTGCATTCCGGCGCTCTGGCCGCTGCCCGGATAGAACTGACCCTGATGCGAGCCAGCTCCTCCCACTCCGCCGTAGCCCACTCCGGGCATTCCGCTGCCGGATCCTTGGGGCATGAAGCGCTGCTGGCTCATGCAACCAGGTCCCGGACCCATTCCTCCAGCGGTCATTCCCCCGGGTCCAATGGGTCCCATTACGGGCCCACCGGTTGGACCCAGGCCATTACCCGCGGACATGCGGCCGTAACCTCCATTGGCAGCGCCCATGGGTCCACTGCGTCCGTAACCATTTCCGGCTCCTCCCGCCTGCATGGGCAGGGGAACTCCTCCTCCGGATCCGGGATGCATCTGCCCGTTTCCGTACATCTGCGCCTGTTGCTGCTGCTGCATCGGATTCCCCGGATACATTCCTCCCGCTCCACCCACTCCGCCCGCCGCCCTCTTCTGAGCCATGTGCATCTGGGGGTGGGGATACGGAGCCATTCTCCGCTGCTGCTGCTGCTGTTGTTGTTGCTGCTGGGTGAGACTCGGTGGCGCCTGCTGGGGATATCCACCATTGGCCATGCCCTGCATCTTGGCCATCGGGTTCATGCCGCCCATTTGCTGCTGCGCCGCCTGCTGCTGGAGGGGATTCATGCCGCCGCCCATGCCGGAAGTTCCACCAACTCCGGGGCCCATGGACATATTCTGCATCTGATTCATGGGCGTCATCTGAAGGAAAAGGGGATGAACAAATTTAGTTTATAAGTGGGGTTATTAAGGTTGCAAAGTAAGAGGGGTTTCCTAAAACAAGTCAAGTCCTAGTGCCTCATTCTATAATCCCAAATTAAGCGAAAATCTTTTGAACATTTACGACCACGAAAATTGGGGGACTGCGTTAAATAATGCCCCTGGTCTTGAGCGGATTACTGTCACTCAGTCAGAAATATGTCATTTCCAAAGCAGCCGACTTCTGTTTTGGGTGCGATTCGAATGATTCGTTAATGGGCGAACGTTTTAAAGGCGAAATCGCTTTACTGCCGCAAATGAATTGTCAACAGCTGGTCATATAAAAAATGTAGATGGGAGTGCAGTGAAGTCATCCAGCCATTCCATTCCCCAAAAAACCCTTAAAATGTATCCCAACAGGTACTCACTTGATGATGCCTCTGGGGTCCGATGTTGCCACCTCCGCCGTAGCCCATTCCCATGCCTTGGGTACCATTGTAGCCACCTTGGCCGGAACCGCCGTTCATGTACTGAGCATTCATGTTGCCCATCATGCCGCTGTTGGGTCCAGGGTGCATGCCGCCACCCATCTGTAAGATGAAAGATAAATGGGTTAGGTAAGACCAAAAATAATAATAGGGTGTCTAAAAAAAATATTATTTTTACTATCAGTTTTTAAACAAGTCTTTCAATTGGGGGTTTAAAAATGTATCCTTTGCTTATAGGTAATTTAAATAGTTTGTATTTTAAAATGATTAAATTAAATTTATAATTTTTTTTAAGTGTAGAAATTTTAACTTGTTCTTAAAATCCATATTTGGATCTTTCTTTTTCAACTACTGATCCTCACCTGACTGTAGCCACCCATGGCGTCCATGCTGGACATGTGTTGCTGCTGCTGTTGGTGGTGCTGTTGCTGGTGGTGTTGCTGCTGCTGCTGGTGTTGCTGGCTGGCAGCAACCATGCCCGTGTATCCCTGACCGCTGGAGCTGCTCAGTCCGCTTAACGAGGAGGTTGCCGAGCTTGTGGCGCCCCCGAGGGCCGTGAACTCCGAGTTGGGACCAAAGGTATTGTTTAGGCTGCGCAGGCTGTCGCCGCCGACAAGGTCATTGCCCAGCATAAAGTTACCACCGCCGCCCACTCCGCCGCCTCCGGATCGCTGGTGTTGCTGCTGTTGTTGCTGCTGCTGCTGCTGTTGCTGGTAGGCCAGAAAGTTGTCGCGCTGATGTTGCTGCTGGTATTGTTGCTGCTGCTGCTGGTTGTAGTACTGCTGCTGCTGCTGTTGCAACTGTTGCTGCTGGTCTACGCCGACTGTTGCACCTGGCGGTGAGATTTGGCCCCCGGTGGCTGGCGCCCTTGAGGAGCCCGCCTGCTGGTTCATTTCATCATTTTTCCTGTAAAATTCGTAATAGACACATATCCATGAATTAGTTGGGATCGAAAAGATGATAATGTAGCCGGATGTCCCAATAGAATACATGGGTATTGTCCATTCCAGCATTTCATAAGACATATTTATCGTATAATGCCCGAATTGAGCAGAAAAAGTTCAAAATCTCTTAACTAGACAATTTTGGTTGAATTCGAATGTTCCCTGGCATCAAATAAGCAGAAGCATTGAGTCCCATGCCTACTTTTAGAAAAAAAACGTGATTTCTTCAAAAATGTAATATAGCTGGGTTTGGTATAATATGTTGTCAAAGTTCTTAGAATATAATATTTATTTATATTTTTTTTCTTTGTAATTACCATTCTTATCGCCTTCGTTAGTCATACTTATGGACTATCTTGGATTTTTCATTTCGTACAGTTCTTAAAAATTGTAAAAATTATTTGTGGTTTCTTATGTAGAATCTTAAGTTCGTACCAAGAATCAATTCCCTTATCTCACCATTTGATTAGTCACATCAAAGAACTGGGTGGTTGGTTGTTTCTGATTTGAGTTGCTCTCTGCTGCTCGAATCATTATTCGACCTCCATGGATGATGTCAGCCCGAGGCAGCTTATGTTCGTGATTTTACCCCAGTATCCGCAGCACCCAACCATCCAACCATCCAGCCGTTCCTAACACCCCTGATAGCCCCCTTTCCCCAACGCCCAGCCATATCTCCATCATCGTCATTGTCAACGTCATTCATTGTACAGTTGCTGTGTGGCAATTGCAATTGCATTTTCCATTTTCCATCTTCTACGTTGCTTATATTTCCCATTGCACTTGTTTCCCCCCGATTTGCTGTGACATTTAAGCCCGAAAATGTCAAATGGGCTCAGGGTTTAGGTTTAGGTTTAGGTCTACGTTTGTTTTGCCCTCGACATCGCTCCCTTCAATTGTTCCACCTAACCATTGAAATTGTTTTCGCATTCGCTTTGATGGCGCGACTTTTAAGGTAAAAATAATTAAGCATATTTGCCAGGCGGACAATAACAATATGAAGCATATGAACGCAGTGTGAATGCGAAGCAGAAAACAGATAAATTCGAAACCAACTGGAGAACCGAAGATGGTAATACTCTGGCTAAAAAATCCATGAATAAAAAATTTGTAAAATCTTTAATAAAAACCTTTTTAAAATTCAAGGTGACAACAGGACAGATAAGTATTGTTTATTTGAGCCAAAGTAAAATTGTATTTCCAACAAGGCGTATGAGCAATTATTGAGTTTACAAGGTTTCAAAAAACTTTGACTCGAAAAAAGTTAGGAAATCGTTAATATTATAATCATAAAAGAAACATAAATATTTTTTTAATATTACAAAAATTGTAATTTTTTTTTTTTTAAATCTTTTTGAAAGAGTAGAATCCCAAGTTTAACAACAAAAAAAGTCGCACATTAAAAATATAAAGTAACACGCTCACAATAATTGCGCATCTACAAAAGCAGCTCAGCGCAAACACACAGTACACACAGCAACACAAAAGCAAATAAAGTTGGAAACAAATAAAAAATAAATAAAAAAATGAAAACAACCCAACAAAAAAACGTAACAAAACGTAACACAAAGGCAACAACAAATGCAGCAGCGAGCGAAATGCAAATAAATGGCACACTAAGCGATTGGCTGATAATCGCATGACGAAAAGCCCGAGCCGGCAAAGTCTACAAAGATCGCTAGAGAACCGAGCGGGGAAGAATTGGTCGGCGGGAGAATCGAGTGGGGTGGGGGAGGAGGGGGGAGGGGAAGAATTGGTGGTGGAACTGAACCTGTGATTGCCGCGAGACTGTGACGATAAATTAGCATCGAGCAGCTAGCAATTTCCAAGTGCAAAAACAGAGTGGAGAGGTAAACAGAGCAAAGCGGGTCATTAGGTCGAATGGGGGAGAGAGACGAACATAGAGCGAAAGAGAACGTAAACACAGTGTGCCCCAAGGCAGAGAAACAAGTCGGTACACAGTGGTCACTCTACTAAAAAGATTAAGCCAAACGTAATTATTTTAACGTATCCATTACAATACAGATCTTAAGTTTTTCAAACAGTAATATCTATATTTAGTTCTAAAATGTAAACTAAAATCGCTGCCGAAAAGTGTGCTATAATATATTATTACAATAATTAAAATCACAATTAGCTAAATTACTCAGAATGTTTTATCATTAAATACTTGGAAACCAGGCAACCTCCTCTGAGATTTAAGATAAGGTACCTAAAATCCTCAGAAAACTAGCCAAGGTGAAGGGAAAATAAATAAAATATAAACAGATCTAAAAACCGTACTGAACTGTAGAAGATATTGGGGAATTCTAATGAGCAAACAACTAAGTTGAGCACTTGCGATCATATAATCGTCTCATTATGTGACTTGCACTGGAAAAAACAGCCTTTTTAGGGGCTTTCGAGAGGTGGGGAGCGAGCGATCTCTGATGACGCTGCTTTGCTTTGTTTCAGTTCCCAGTTCGAGTCGAGTTCTCGTTGTTAGTGCCTTTTGTACTTTGATTAGATATAAATTTCTTCATTGATTAGATAAAAATAAAGCAAAACAGGTAACTCGCAGGCAGGTGAGACAGAAAGACAGGCCGCAAGGGAGGAAAAGAGACAACGAGATATGATCAAAGTTTAGAATCACTAAAATTCAGTTCAGAGGCCGTAGAAAACACGTGCTCGAAGATATAGCTTCATATCGAAATCGGTGCACGATCTCTGAACCCCCCCCCCCCATTCCATCTTCTCTCTTTAGTTTGCTTGTGTAATTGTAAATTGTGCGCACTTTGATTTGCTGTGGTAATAAAAATTATTTCTCATTTGGCACACGAAATGATTTCCGTATGTCAACAGACAGGGGCGTCGTTAAAGGTTTTCACCCGGGGGTTTATGTTTTACTATTTTTTATACATATCTTATTTTTTTGCAATTTATTTGACTACATTTTCACAATTTATAGTCATTGTTTCTGGCGATTTGAATTATGGCCCAGACGGCAATGCGGCATTCGGGATGGGTAGAACATCCTTTTGGAGGACATGTCTGGTAAGCTTTATTACGCTGCTGAAGCAGAACAATCCCTCAACAAAAAAATATCAAACTTTTTCTTCTATTTTTATTGTTATTGTTGTTTGCGTGTTTTTTTGTTCGACTTGCCTTTGCGTTTCTGTGTTACTTTTTTTTTTACTTTTTTATTTCACAGACGACAGTTGGCGTCATGTAACAAAACAAGTAATATATACAAAATGGATGTGTGCGTTTTAGAGGCCATGCAAAATTGTGAGACACGTGCGTGGAGCCAATGACAGAACGAAATGTTTGGAATAGGTTTTCTTACTGGAGTGGGAGGTTTCAATCAAAGTCTGCTGACAGAACTGCTTCTTTTGGAACACATAAGGAAGCGATTATGGTTTTCAATTCGATAAGGACGAAAAAGCCATATTTTATATAATGTTTCAACGAAAGTTAAACTATATATGGATTTTAAATATATTTCAAAATGTTCCGGGTCCTTTTGCAAAACCAATAATACGTCAAAAATGTTTGATTTGCTCTCTTTGCCGTTCCCGCCCCCTTTTGACTCATCAGTCACTCAAACTCAAACTCCTCTATTCCCGGCTTATTGTTCCGCTGCAGTTGCCCACCTCCCACCGCTGAAATGCGTTTGACAGTTGTTTTTCAAGGGTGTTTGAAACCGAACCACCGCACCACCGAAACCACCCGCTGTTGGCTGCACTTTTCGCATACAAAATACATACGAGAAAAAAAACAAAGAATTGGTTTTTTTCCAACATTTTCTCCACTCTTTCCAGTCCAATTTTGAGTTGGCAGTTGTCGTCTGTCTGTTTTTTGCCCCTGACTCTGTTCTGGATTCATTTTTTCCATATTGCCCTGTCAGGGGAGGTTGTGTATGGGTTTTTCGTTACGTATTCCTTTTTTTTTTCTTTTGAGTGGCAAAAGGATGGTAATAATTTTTTGCTCGCCGCTTAGTTTTGGGACTTTGTATGCCATTCGCATTTGGGCGGCGCCTGTTGGTATGCAACACTTTTTGTCGCCTCAAGCTCAGTGGGAAAATTCTACTCGCCACCCATTTTCGATTGAATTTCCCGTGGAGTTTTTCTTGCTCGCTTCGATCGCTTTCATAATTCATCTGCCTCGCATAAATTGCAATCAGAATGAAAATAAAAATAAATCAGCATAATAGACTCGACCCCAGAAAACAAAGCAAGGCAAAAAGGAAGCAACCACCAGGAGGAAAAGGCAGCAGCAACCCTCCGCTCGAGTGGGTTTCTTTTTTTTTTATTGGGGGGTGGAGGGGTGAACATAATAAAAATCGAACTGTAAACAGAAAAAAATGAAAATAAAAAGGCGAAGAAAGAGCTGGGGCAAAAAGGCGAAGAGAAATCGCGCAATTTTTGATTAAAAATCCAATGCAAATAATACAGATGGTCAGCAGGCGGATTGCGGTGGTGCTTCTGAGGGATGGGCTATGGGGGTTGGCAGATTTTTGAATATGTGCAAAAACATATTCGGCACTCAGCCCCCTTTTGCGCCGACAAAATGTTTGCCTCCAACTTTGTGCTCGGTTTGCATTTTGCGGATTTGCAAATTCATTTTTATAAATGTTTTGCCGCTTGCGGTGGACAAAGGGAAAATGGCTGGTTGTCTGTCCCACATGTGGTATGAGTAATATTTGAAATATTCCACCCTTTCCTCCTCCCTTTGCTGTGTGTGCATGTTTTCAGCACCTGTAACTGGCTTTTATTTATTGGCCAGCCAGGACTGTAAGCTGCTGCTTTTTCCACATTGCGTATACGCAGTGTGCGCCTGGCCCTAAAACATTCGTTTTACTTTTTAGGCGCGTGTCTGCGGCTGTTTGTAATACAACTATGTATTTGCTAATTTGCATACTATATTGTAGGATTTCCTAGGATTATAGTTCAGGGTACAGTGGTCACTGTGGCAACAATGATTTATGGAACACTTAAATTACAAAGTTGTTTGGTAAACAAATGGAAGATATGCAAACATAATTTCCAGCTAATTGAAAAATTAATTCAAGTTTAATTACATGAATTCTTATCGCTTTATTAATAGGTAATAACATATTTTATGACCTGGTCGACACAAGAGATAAGCTAAAAGGTCAAAAGACTATGCTTATGATGTTGAAAAGATAATACCACTTTTACCCATAATATTAAAGTGGGCTATGGACTAATTGTGACCACTGTGATTGGCACTTAGAGTACATATTTACAGGTGTCGATGCATTATTCAATTCGGAAATTGCATTTCACTGTTGGTTGTTCTGCGTTGTTACCCATTGTATTTGTTGTCGTCTGCTACTTTGTCCTTGTGGTGTTGTAACCAAAATCGTTTTGATGGCTGATGGTGTCGCCATTGAAGTCTGCCCGTGTTGGTGATAAAAACTAAAACTAAAAAGACCTAAACAAAAAGCGTTGTGGTTGTTGTAACACACGCGCTAATCAGGTCGCTAATGGACGAACCACCAGAAAAGCCCCTTGCACCACCGACCACCCACAACCCCCTGTGACTATCAATCAGCGATGTGGTTTTTGCACACCTTACCCAGCCACTTTTTCGGTTCGAGTTCGGGTTCGGGAATCTGATGTTTTGGCTTCGATTTGCTGGCGGGTCTGGTTTTGCTTTGCTTATCTTATCTATCGCGTTTTGCTCAAACTAAATTTATGCCAGTCAACGGGGGCAAAACGGAAAAAAAGGAAAATTTGGAGAGGGGCTTCGAGCGAGGATGGCGGGGATTTAGCACTCAGTGCGATCTATTCCATTGTCATCGGCGTCATTGCGATTTTGGCATTTATCTAATCGCCAATTAAGTAAGAAAAACCCCAAACAAAAATCATAAACAATCAGACAGACATAAACATTAAAAATAAATCGAAGGCTGCGACTGTCAACGCGCAAAACTGCAAAAAAAATCCACAAAAAAATAAATGTACGAAAAAAAAGAAGCTGCAATAATTTTGTTCAAGTATTTTTGCACACTCACACACCGAGGAACATGCATAAATCACATTAAAAATAAAACAAAACAAAGCGAAAATTGCAACAGCAAGCAAAACTTGAAGCGACTCAAAACCCAACGCATAAATCGCCAGCAGAGACGTCGACTGCGACGCGAGCGTCGTACTTGAAAACCAGTTTCGAACAAAAATGTCTACTGAAGTACAGCTAAATAGCAGCCGCAAAAACAACTACCAAAATAAACGCAACCAAATGTACACAAGAAAATGTTAGCTAAAAATACTTGCCATCGGTAAAGGTTAGATATGGAAAATGTGGGGCAGGAAGCGTGGCGATTGATAAGCGAACTCGTACCTAGCTGATATGTTGAGAAGCGCGTAGAGAGGCCCTGTGCTCATGACACACGACCAGCAGGTGGCGCCACCTGATCTAAATCTCACAGATATTTCTTTTGAAGGGTTGCACTTCGTTATAACGTGATCCCTTTGGTAATGATTAGATTCCCAATTATATAGTTTACATTAGGTTATCAAAATGATTAAACGCACTTGCTGCTATTGCAAGAACTTAAGTAACTGCTGCAGATTGTTCCAGAAAATCTAAGATAGTGTACTCAGCAATCAGTTGCTTCGGTGAACATATGGTTTAAATATTTATATGTATTACCCATTTGCACTCGCCCACTTCCTGGGTCTAATCAATTCTTCCCCCTCGCCCCTCTTCTCCCACCACCCACCTTGATTACGTTCCATTCACAAAAAACCAGCGACCATTTTGCGAAGAGTGCTAAATGCCGGCAGACTGACGTACTATATGAAGGTACTACCTGGCCGTAAACGGCGATAAGCAATTATCGATAACCGAAATATTTCTGCATACCTAGGCACGATTTAATGTCGGCCAAAACAAGAGCAAAACGAAGCAGATGGTTTCGTACAGGTAGAGCCATTCAGAGAGTGAAAATTTCCATTGTTCCAGTTGTTCTTTTGCACCCAAAAAATAACGATGGTAGTTTGGGAACTGTTTCTGTTTTTCTATATAGATACAGTACGATCTGCTGGTATAATTAGCTTGTCAGTTCCCCCCCCACCAAAGTCCGATAAGAGTTGGTTACCTTTGATTTGGGCCTAAGTACATTCTGTGCCCATCGATTGTGATAGTATTTCTTTTTTTTCGGTGGTTGGTGGTGTTGGCAGTTATCTGTGAGGTTGTTGTGGCTGCTAAGCATATATTTTACTATATCTATGCGAATGTGTGGGTTTCGGTACGGTCTAGTTTGATATCAGGTTCGTTCAGGGGCTTTTAATTGGGTCGTTAAATGTTTTCGTTCGGTATTCGTTGCGTTTTGGGAACTTTTATCATGTGACTAAACGAACTCTGAATGGAGTGGAGTGTGCGACTCTTCAAGGTGCCTCGAGGAGCCCGAGGCGAGTCAAGAGTCAACTGCTTAACCCATTAATGTCCAATCAAATTCAAATGGTGTGATTAGATATGCACCGCAGTTCGCTCTTACTCTTTGCTCCCATGTGTGACCTTCAATCTGGTCTGTTGAGGTTTAACCCCTCGTCTAGAATTTAGGGGTTGCTTCGGTGGCTTCAGTGGCTTACACATGTAACTATTGTTGCGCCCTCGAGTGTGGATTTCGTTACGGGGGTTGCTCAGTTTCCAGCCCCCTGTCTGATGGGTTTATTAATATCGGACGCTCCTCCACTCGCTAAATGTTCCATGTATGTTTCTGTTTGTTTCTTTCGGGGTTTAATCACCGGGAATTCAGAACGCTATCCCTCTCTCTCTACTTTCCAGCCAGGGGTTGTTGTTGCCTTCTGCGATTTGCAAATGGTTTTCCGCGTTTAGGTTTTTTTTTTCTGTCATTTACTCGTTTGTATCACATTTTTATTTCCCGTGTGAAAATTGCAAACAGTTGAGGCAAACAGGAAGTGGCCAGGAGTGGAAGATGTGGAGGGGGGGGATGGAGGGAATCCCCCTGGTAGGTAGGTATTTTTCTCAAGTCCTTTCGGTGGTTGCTTGATGGGTTGTGATTTGGTTGCCTCGGTGGTTGATTGATGATTGTCTCGCGCTTACGCAGTTTCTGTTTTAGGATTTGAGGTGTGGGGCGGTGGTGGGTTGATGACATTAGAGGGTGTTTACGATAAGCCCAGGGCGTTAATTAACCGTTGAACTGATCTGCTAAACCGGAATTCGAAACTGTTTCAGAACTGCGTAAATTCTCTAAAATGTTTTGTTTAGTGCAAACTTCAGCTGGAAACTTTTCAGAGGACTAATCAATCACCAAGAATTTTAAAAAATAATTTGTACATAATTTAGGGATCAAATAATTCTACATCTATTTAAATCTTCACGTTAAAAATTTTATTTATTGGAATTTTTATTTTGAAAATAAAACCTCGAATTAGAATACATA